ATCCATTTTCTAAGGAGAATTCAAAGAATTCTCAGGGAAAATGGTAGAAAGTTGGGGAGAATTCATTCAGTAGAACAAGGGATGACGAGTGGCGTGAGCATATTTTGACAAGTTTCCCCAGCGGCAGGACGTGCCGCGCTCATGATTGGATAAACAACTTCGAAAGATGAAGCAGAGCTTGAACAAGTTTTTTTTTCAGGACTTTTCTTCACTGCTACTCCCATACTACTTCAGGGCTCTAAGACAGCAAGCCAATAATCCACTGGTAATAAGGATGTTTTGCTTTTTTTCAAGTCATACTAGTCAAAGGGGATTTTTCGTCTTCAGAGTACCTCAATTTTCGATAGACTGTACCACTTGAGAGGAATGTAGTTTATAAAAAAAATGCCTGTAAAAAAAGGGAAGTAAGCCTGGACATACTTCGCGAGTTGAGAAAAATAGAAAAATCGAGAGGAGGCGCGCTAGCGAGTGGAGATGACCGATTTTCGTGTGCTCCCTTAGCGCGAATTCTCCGAAAACGTCGAATCGCTGAATCTTCCTCTCCTCCAGAGTCGCAACATGAACGCACTCTGAGGGCGAAGCAGGCTTGAACGCGAATTAAGAGTAAGGCGCATTTGTCAGCCGAGGACTCTAAGTAGATTCTCACGGGGTAAGGTCTTGTTCATGTCCGAAGCATATGGTGACAAGGGACCCGCCTACCATTACTGGGAACCGAGGGTCTAATCAGGGACCGGCTCCAACTCTAAGCAAGCAACTCTTCATTTTCCCGGGCCCCTTCAATGGTGCCAGTCTTTCAGGGACGATAAAAGCGCCAGAATGTACCTCGGCTGGACTCCGCAAGTCATTGCGCAGGACATGCCGCATTCAGTGTGAAGCGTCAATTCCCTGTAGCAGCTTCGCAGTACGACTTAACTTAGGAGATCTGATTCGTAATGCGATGCCGCGACTGGACAAAGAATACGCTTCAAACCTTAGGCCACGCTTTATAATAAAAAAGTAGAACGCGTGCCAACCTCCCCCCCCCCTCCCCTCCCACCAGAGGGATCAACCA